ATAACGATAAGTAGAATTTAATAGGTTTATAAAGTATTTTCAATAAATTTGCATCAGCTAATTTAGCATTAGCTATAATAATAATTGTAAAGATAGATTTAATTTATTAATAATTTGACTGAATATTTGTTAATTGAGTTATCTGTTATATAAACGTAGAAACACTTAAATCATATTTACATGCTAATTAAAATATCTAGAAGTTGTCGTTAGATTATGAAACAAGAATAACTTTTCTATACCAGGCTTATGAATTTTATTAGTAAAATAACACTAAATTGCTTAGAAAATTTATTATTATTATTATTATTATTTTTAAATTGAACTTAGTAATAAAATTACAAAAAAAATATTAATCATATTTGATATATTTTACATACTTTTAAAGTAACCCACATAAAATCGAATGCAGGTTGTTAGAGACAAGTTATTGAATGCATTGTAAGAATAGTTTATATGATTTACTTTGTGTTCCTTGATGTTTATATGCAAATTTAAGACCAGCTAAAGTAATTTTTGAGTAGACAATTGGAATAAGAATTAAATATAAAATAAATTTCAAAGACATTAGGCAAAGTTTTCTGAAACCACAGCAATACTAAGTGAATTACGAAGAAATTATTCAAGTGCTACATATATTTTTTCAGAAAAATTTGACATATATATATATATAAGTTATGTGGATAAAGAATTGATGTGATATCAATATGTTAGTAACACTATTTTCATTATTTCGCGCTTTTACAATACAATCATAAATAAGTATTGCCTTCCCTGTTTTTTTCTGAACATTTGAAATATGTACCAGGTTTATGGGACAAGCAAAGTTCTTAAAGTTAAGCGGTGTTAGGATAGCGTTTATATTCAGGGTTAAGTGTCAACAACATATAACAAAGTCGCTCAAGGAAACTTTTTATCCGAAAATTATTTTTGTGCATTTAATGTTAGCACTTGTTTGTGGGTATTTTTTTTCCAGACATTTAATTCCTTGTGAATCCTCATAACTTGTTCAATTTTTTAGTATACAGTGCAAACAATTAATCTTTTGATAAAAGGCCAAATTGCTACCAGACACTTTTAGAATTATTAATAAATAAATACGCATCTGCACATACAGTACTAGTACATGATGAAAGTTTATTTAATCAATTAAATCATTAATCCCAATTGCTTGCGTCAAATTCTGTTAAAAAAAAAAAAATTAGGTGATAAAAATAAAAACTTTAAATATAAAGTATTTAACATACCACTAGTAATAAAAGATTCATCTAAATTTCCAAGAGTTTTCATATCTTCTTCTTCAATCTCAAAATCATACACTTTGGTATTATCAATTATACGCTCTTTATTCATGCTTTTTGGCAATACAACAAAATTATTTTGAAGACCCTATTTAAATTTAACATGTGTTAATAACAACATTCTTCTAAGAATTTTACCAATATAAAATCAAGACACACCCAACGAATCAGAATATGAGCAGCAGTTTTATTATATTTCTTAGCAATGCCAACGAGAGTAGGATCATTAAATTTTTTTCCTCTTGTTAGTGGAGAATATGCTTGAATGGTAATATTATGTTCAACACAATATGATACAATGTCTTTTCTAGTATGCCAAGGATGAACCTAAATATTGAAATATTTTTTTTAGAAAAAAAACCAATATTTATGAATAATAATAAAAGATTTGAGACTTGTTAATGCCACCACCTACATAGCCCTAATTGACCTTTAACCTTTCCGGAAACTAGGGTTATATAGAGGGTGGCATTAACAAAAGTGGGAGGTGGCATTAACAATTCTCAAAGATTTACCTCCATTTGATTAACGGCGGGTATAATTTCGGGATCAGTATCCATCAGCTCCTTTAAATGGTTTACACGATAATTTGAGACCCCAATACTTCTAACCTTTTCTCGCCTAACTAATTCTTGTAAGGCCTTATAACATTCAATACGTTTTTGAGCACCAGGTTTGGGGGTATGTATTAACACCAAGTCGAGATAAGATGTTTGAAAGCTCGATAAAGAAGTTTCGACGGCTTTAAGAGTTGATTCATAACCTTGATCTGTAATATTGCAGTAAATTGTCATAGACAAGATAACTTACATGTTCACACAAAATCAGGTTTAATACACACCCCTACAATAAATTACTGGAAAGATCACTTTTATTATTAAGAATGAAAATTTGTACTCTATATAAGGCTTTAATTTTGTTAATTGGAATTGCTAAATCACACCAGTGGTGTTTAACACTACAGTTCTAATATCTCAGCATCTTAAAAGATCTTATTTTAAGCTTTAATTTTTAGTTTATAACTTCTAATTTTTAACTCTGATCTTAAATATTGATAACAAAATTATAATAAAAATTATGTGTCGTTGAGCACCATCGGTGTGATTTGTTATTAATACTCATTATTTGTTTCCTATTTAAAACTAATTGGTTACGCTTTATAAAAATGATTTTTTGAATTTAAAATTTTTTTATAAGGGAAATTCTATTTTGACCCCTCCTAGAATTTAGGGTTAGTGCAGGCCACAATTATGTTAACGCCGGCCGGATTTTTATATTTAAAATACCCTGGCCGGCAATAGCATAATTCTGGCCCGCACTAACCCTAAAATTTTGCTGAGGGTTATTTTGACCGAGGCAAAATTGAATTTCCCTTTTTATAAACGAAAGTTATCCTAGTATATTTTATATATAAAGAACTTACAGGGAAACTTCTCGATTAGAATGTTTACTTATAAAAAATTTTTTTAGAATCAAGAAAAATCATTTTTTAAAAGCGTAACTAATTAGGCAATAATTAAATATGATTAACAAAATTAAAAACTTTATAAGATAAATTTTCGGTTTTATTAATAAAAAAAGATCATTCCGGTAATTTATTGTAGGAGTGTGTATGAATACGTGCGTACCTTGGTTCATAATTTTGGTAGTGATAAATATTTGGTCACGCGGGATTCCACTATGAAGGTAAAGTTGATAAAAGTTGTAAAGATTATACAATATAAAAACTTTTTTTTTTTAATATTAACCTTCTTGCAATACCAATTCCAATATCCTCTTCATTTTTATATAGAGTTGCAGTATCAATACTTCTGTATCCGGCCTATACAAATGTAAATTAAAAAATTTTAAAAATTAGAGTAAAACTATTAGAAATAAAAATAAGAATCTTACCTCCAGGGCCCATAAGACGATATCTTGAGCAGTTTTGCCTTTGGGTGTGCTATGACCATTACCCATTCCGCCCATCCCTATCGCTTAAGAATAAAAAATATTATTAATTTTAATCAGTATAATTGTTTAGAAAAAGGGTTGAAATAAACAATAAACCTAGTAATGGGATTTTATGCCCATCATTCATTATTGCAGTCGAAGACAACGATAGTTTCGAATTCATTATAACGACCATCTCGTTGTTTTATTTTGATGAAATACGCTTTTTAAAAAAAAATACATGTATGGACGATTTTAACCATATAAATCTAACTAAATGATTCTACATACGTATACAGTATATACGTACGTACGTACGTACGTACGTACGTACGTAGCACTAGGGTGGCTGATCGTCTAATAGGATCAAACATACGTATGTATAGTATCATTGATTTTTATATAATGATAGATTTTCTGATTAAACATTATGCCGCAGTCTTTTATATTAAATGATTAATAAATACTTTTGGTTATTTGACGCTTAATGATTTTTTTTTTTTCAATCTTAACATCTTTCACTCTTTACCACAGTCTTAACAAAGTTACGTTTTCAGATTTTACATACCATAGTAAAAATTTTAATTAAAAATATATTTCGAATTGGTAAATATAAAATCTAATATATTTTTTTAAGACGTATATTATACAATTCGGTAAGATGATAAATAAAGTACAAATATATTAACGTAACTTTGTAAAAGAACTGTCAAGACTTTTTTCTACCAAGTTTGGTGTCAATTCATCATGCAATTAAGACTGAATAACCATTTAAATTTTTTAGAAATGGGTAGATTAAGTAAGCGTCAATTACAGTCCAGAAAGGCCGCACAAAAAAGTCTTGAGAATAGACGCAAATCTACAATATATGAACATTATTTTTCTAAAATGAGTCAACAACAACTAAATACAACCTGTAAAATAATCGAAAAGTCAATTTATAATAAATCATTATCAAAAGAAGACAAGAAACAAGATGAGCTAATTTTTGCAGTTCAAGAATTACACTCAAAAGATGTATCTTCAGTAAATCACATGATTAGCATAATGCGATATCCAAAAGGTGCACAAGAAGGGCAAATATTGTCACCATATTTACAAGACAAGGCATTGCAATTTATTCAAGAGTCTCTTTATAAAA